CCTTTCGACCCTTTTCTCAACAGATACCTTGCCAAGACACTGACGCCCTGTATGCGTCATGATTTCTTTCCTCCACTGTAGTTCACACTCTGGTTTGGGGCTGGCAGGCTTTCTCCTCAGCTCTTCAAACTTCCAGTCCCAGTTTAAATGCCGTGTACACCTTGAAGCCTGTGGGTCTTTTGCTACAAGTGGTTGCTCCCTCCTGGCAGTTCACTTTTTGTTATCTTCAAGGGCAGGACTGATGTCTGTCAGTCATGTTTACAGTCTGCGTGGACGATTGGTCCACTCAGCACATCTGTGGCATTGAGGCTGTTCACAGAGGTTTTCACTCTGTAGTTCCCTCTCCTTCATGTGTATCTTATGATGGAAACATCTCTCGTGTTATACGCTTCACTATCTTGAAAAGAATCAACATATAAAATGCCTTCCTACCTGTAGTTTACAAGCATCCATAAAGTATGCTACCATTTGTAAAGATAGAAAATAAGAAAAGTAAACTACCCGATAGAATGAAAGTGGTAGGCAAAAGGCCTTTGGTCCAGTGAGTGGCACAAGATGGCCTAATGCAGAGTTGACACATCCTTATACCTATGTGTGGACATTGAATGTGACAGCTGCTGCAGCCAGGTGTATTTTTCAAAATGATACCTGGTTCTTGGTAAAGTTGAGGAAAAAGAAACAACAACCCCCTAACATACCCACAACGGTAATCTTTAATTGATTCATATGGTAGGTTCATTCTTGGAAATTATAGCATGCACTAAACCATGGTGTTTTGTCACTGTGCTCCCCTCCCCCCTCTTCAGATTTTTTCCCTTCAAGTTTTCATCTATTCCAAGGTTATTTAAAAACTATGGCTCGACCATGGAACCGTACTTTCCGTGTGTCTGACTGTTGTGTATATTAGATGGCAAATTCAGTCCCTGCCAGCTACATTCCAGGATCACCCCTGTTCACCAGTGTGTGTTTCCAAAATGTGCCCTAGAGTCAGTGCCATGCCTGTTAGGGAAACACTGCTTCAGTGGATGAAGAAGTAATTCTTTAGTCTGAATTTACAGAATCATGCAGGCTAGCACAGAGCTGTAACTGAACACAGCACTATTGGCCAGATGATTGTTGGGATTGAAATAGAAAAACATAGTGGTATAGTAGGTTAGGAATTGGGTGCGAACCACAAGGTCAGCAGTTCAAAACCCCCAGAGGCTCCCCAGCAGGAAGATAAGGCTGTGTGCTCCCCTTAAGATCTACTGGAGGTGTTCAACTCAACCCTATAGAGTTGCTATGAGTCAGAATTTGACCCAGTGGCAATGAGTTTTGTTTGGGGTTTATGAAGTGCAGTAGGAAGTTTGTCTAAATGCTTTAAAATTACCTTTCTACCATGATTGCTAAGACGAAATCACTGATTTATTGAAACACGTGTCTTACAGAGCTCGAAACAAAACAAACATTTTATTTTTGGAAAACAAAGCTCCATAGAGGTCTTACCCATCGCCCACACCCAAGAGGCTAGGCCCCAAGTACTCTCCTCTTGCAGACCCAGGAGTCTCGGCCTTAAGCCCCTTTCCTCCTTCTGACCCAGGAATCCTGCCTTCTACCCCCTCCTTCCTCAGACCCATGAGTCCTGCCCCAATTCCCTTGCTTTTCTGTATACTCGTATATCGAAAACATAAAGGCAGCAATATGTATATCTATATATTTGTAAATATAATTAAAGCATAATTTCATTTGTATTTAGTCATTTGTGCATGCATTTGCATTGTGTGTTTCTATGTCTGGCATGAAAATTAATTTCAAACTAATTAGCTAATTGTAGCTAGTCATGCAGTCTTTTAGATCACCTTTAGACTAGAGATGATTTTTAATCCTTTGACCTACCAAAGGCTTTATTTAAGCACCAAAATTCAGTTAAAATATTTAGAAGGAGGTAGGTCATACCATGTCAGCAGAGTTTATTCAAACGAGTTCAAGTTCACATTCTTGAAGCCCATGACGCTGAGTTGATTATAGTCTGTTCTGCTGCCGCGTGTGTTTTGCTAGTGTGAACCAGCCTGTGTGCAATTGGTGTGCAGTGTCATGATGTGGAAGTCCTATCTCTTCACGGGCAATTCCTTCCACAGTGTTAATGTATGAAGTGAAATGGGGCAAGTGTTTCAACTAAAGAGGGATGTTTGGTAATATTGGAAACCTCTGGAAAATCTGGTGTTTGTAGAAAACATTCGACTCAAATGATCCCTAGTGTACAGGCTGTCTGAATCATCACTTTGCGCTTTGCTAAACATTTTCAGGAAAAGCTAAAAAGGATGGAAAGCAATGTGGACTTTGGTATTGTTTTTTTCATTTGTTGGAACTGGTCTCAAAAGAAAGTACGTATGAAGATGTACACTTAAAATTAAAGAAGGCGCCCCCCCCCAAAAAAATAATTAAAGAAGACCATGTGAAAATAACACTTAAAAGAGTGAACCACCCTCTCACGTCTTCGTTTCTGAGATGACAAAGAAAAGGCGTAACAACAGTCGTACCAAGCAAGGCTGCAGCCTATTCGCTGCAGGAGTGCACCCACTGCGTGCCCAAAGACAAGGCCATTAAGACGCTTATAATCGGAAACAGTGGAGGCTGTAGCCATCAGAGACATTTCCAGAACAAGTATTTTCCATTCATATGTGCTTCCCAAGCTGTATGTGAAACTCCATGATTGTGTGAGTTGTGGCATTCACAGCAAGATGGTCATGGTCCCATGAAAGACTGAACCCTCTGCCCTCCCCCCCACCCCCGATTTAGACCTGCAGGTGCTGCCCCATGACTACCTTCAAAGTTGAAGAAAGACCTGAAAGGAAATAAATTGGAAATGCTTCTTTTTAAAAAGTGCACCAACTGTTGGAATTAGTGCAAGTGTCAGCATTGATCGAAGTTGGTCGTTGTTTTCTTAGGACTGTTATTAAATGTTCTGAACACGGGTTTTCATAAGGTGGTTTAGCTCTGGAGGGAACCCTGGAGTGGTGGGGTACGAATTGAACTGCCAGTCTCAAGGTCAGCAGTGTGCAACCATCAGCCACTCTTCAGGAAAAAGAAAAGGCTGCGTGCAGCTGCCGCCCCATGGGCGCTTCTGACTGTCCTGTACAGTTGCGCTGGGTCAGAATCAATGCCATGACGGGGAGCATGAATTGTGCCTGAGTTAAACTCTGAATGAATACAGTCTCTTTTAATATAAACTTTAGAATTCACAAGTCAGGATTACAACAAGGGAAAAACCTAATTCTATAGTGAAGTACAAAATATGGTTTGATTTTAAAATGTGTAGGAAACGTAAATAAAATAAGCATGTAGAGCATCTGAATGACATCATGCCTAAACAGTGATCAATGCATATTAAATTCCTTAGTCTGAAAACCGTCTTAATCCTCTTTGTCTTCTCTTTCATAAATTTGGAATGATTTAAAAAATTAACTCATTATAAAAGACAACTCTCCAACCGAGAAATACAACAAAAAGGAAAGCGAGCACTGAGAAATGAAATCTACTAAGGGTACAATAGAAGATTTGGGGAAAACAAAAAACAGCCACAGTATGTGAAGTCACACCTGGATTCACCCCCCTCGCCCCCAAGAAAATGTGGATCTGCAGACACACTCACTACTCACCTGATGAATAGACACTGAAAAGTGAGACTGGAGCTATTTAGAGGAGCTGATTTAGTCTTAATAGGTTTTCAGAATAGACTGATTGCTGCCAGAGGTTAGAACCTAAAATATAAAAATTATTTTGGGACCCAGGAAACACTTTATTTTATTGAAAAGCTTATTAAATTCTGGAAAAGGTAGAAGAAAGAAAGATCCTGAAGAAAGAAACTTGTTATTTTAGATAAGATAGTTGAGACATCAGGACATAGAATCTTTACAGATTCCGTTAGAATTATTTTTTTGTGAGGTTTCCAGTGATTTATTTCGATTCCTGTACTGGCACCCTTCCACAAGGCCTTTAAAATACACCAAGTAACGGCACTTGCACCGGGGTCTTTCTGAGTTGTCACCAGTCGACTCTCATATATGCTATTTACTTGCAGGATGGGTGTTGGCTGTGAATTAGATAAGTTGGATTTAATAAGTGAATATCGCACCTCGGTAAGGACAGATTTTCTGTATATACGTATAAAATGGATGTTTACTTCCTTTGGATTGCTTCTGTAAATCTCCTCTAGCTAATCATTGCCAGAGCTTGAAAAACTTAACAATTGAATTACACCGCTTCTTTGTCTTTCTTCAGCTTCCTATAAGAAGAGTAATGGCATAAATAAGGATTTGACCGATTATAAATGACTTATTAATAATGGAATTTTTGGATGTGCTTGGAATGCTTTATGGTGAATTCTTTAAGTATCTCTTTCTCTAGGACTTGGGTTTTGGTGTACTTTATTAGTACTTTAAATTCTTAATAACTGTCACTATATTGATTTCCTATAGTTCTGTGTTCTGTTTTGTCTGATGATTTTCTCTGTAAAATCTCTTGGAGAATTGGTGTGTCTGCTTCAACATTTACAGTGCTAATTGAAATCTTAATGTACAAATTGGAAATTAGGTCATTGTGAGGAATCATAGAATGCCTTCACTATAAATGTTTAAGGCAATGATAGTTACATTGTCTATTAATGCTAGCATGTAAGTATATAAAACGTCTAGATTTGCTGGTTTTAAAATTAAGCATGCCTGAAGTGAAATTATGGAAAAAATCATTTTGCTTTAGCAACACTAACACTAATGTAATTGTGGCAACTGGTAAGAGTGACCTTAACTCTTGGACATTAAGGGGAATTGGTTGTAAGAGGCATTTTTTCACTCTCGATTATTTGATTAAATAATAAAGTATCTTAAATATTTGGGGAAAGGTGTAGGCTCAGTGATGATGAATTTTTAGGCTTTTTTTAAAATGTAAAAATATTTCACCTTCAATATTGTATTTGCACCGCATTTTCCTGATAGATTTCTGTTTTGATTTTCTGCTGACAGGTCACATTTAGAGCAGGCAAAACATAAGGGATCTAGCCCTCCTGAGAGTAGAAAATGTAATGCTAATGCTAAGGCACCCAAAGGGCAGTCTAATTCCACTTCTGAACTGTCAAGGGGACACCTTTCTCAAAGGTAAATCTTCACATTGCTTCTTTATTTTCAAGGCAGAATTATTTGCATTTGAATCCTTGCATATAATATTAAAAGTTGGCCATATTACCCCCAATGGTATGATACATATTTTTCTTAATCTCTGAGAGGAACTCCGAGAATTAACAGCCCAGCACCTTGTCCGTGAGGACAGTGTGATAGACCTTCAATAGGGAAAATTTGCCTTTTCTTAGAGAATTGTGAAGTTCCCATTTTACTTAGCAAACCACAATCAGCCTCTAAAATGCTGTTACTGTTTTCCATAGTTTTTGTAGTTGAAGCCATAGTTCAGGGCAACAATTTCTTCCAGACCAATTGGGAGGAGTCTTGGGAAGTACAAGGAGATACAGAGTTGGCAGTGGTATAAATAGCATTTCTAGCCTTCCTTTTGAAAGTACATGTTTTACTGTGTTTGAGAGCCTTGATAGTCCACACTCAGCTGGTTCTGAACCAATAAGTATTCTTTTTCTTATCCCCCTGGCCCTTGCTTTGTGAGTGGCTGTGCTCACAATCTCTGAGCTAAAGGTCCCTATCTTCTAGTTAATACTTGACCGCCCAGGGTCACACCTATTCCCCCTGGCATTTTGAGCAGCTTGAAGGGTCCCTGTTTGTTAAATATGGGCTTACTGGGAAGATTCTTGGTTTGTTTTGTTTTTAAAGCACTTAATTCCTGAGACTTAAAGACGTTCATAGATAAACATTGAGTGTGGAGGTGAATGATGGTGCTAACTCTTCTCTTATCTAACCTCTTAGAAGCTGCAGTTCATCCTCTGCTGTCATAGTTCCACAACCTGAAGACCCAGACAGAGCCAATACTTCAGAACGGCCCAAAACGGGGCAGGTGCCTAAGAAGGACAATTCTCGAGGAGTGAAACGCAGCGCGAGTCCAGACTACAACCGGACCAGTTCACCAAGCTCTGCAAAAAAACCCAAAGCGCTGCAGCACACTGACTCTCCCACAGACACGAAGAAGCCACACAGCAAGTCCAAGAAGAGACATTTAGACCAGGAGCCGCCACTGAAATCTGCACAGTCACCATCCACCAGCAAGGCTCACCCCCGGAAGAGCGGGGCTGCTGGGAGTTCACGGAGTCAGAAAAGGAAGCGGACGGAGACTTCTTGTATAAAGAGTGGTTCTGCGTCGGAGTCAACTGGTGCCGAAGAAAGAGCTGCAAAACCACCCACCAAGCTGGCTTCAAAATCAGCCGCCTCAGCCAAAGCTGGGTGTAGCACCATCGCCGAGTCTTCTTCCACCGCCTCGACTTCCTCCTCGTCTTCGGCTGTCGCCTCGGCCTCCTCCACGGTGCCACAAGGTGCCCGGGTGAAACAAGGAAAAGACCAGAATAAAGCCAGGCGTTCCCGCTCCGCATCTAGCCCCAGTCCCAGAAGAAGTAGCAGGGAAAAGGAGCAGAGTAAAACTGGTGGCTCTTCAAAGTTTGATTGGGCTGCTCGTTTCAGCCCGAAAGTCAGCCTTCCTAAAACAAAACTGTCTCTTCCAGGGCCGTCTAAGTCCGAGACCTCGAAACCTGGACCTTCTGGACTACAGGCCAAATTAGCAAGTAAGTGCAGACCGGCCGGCCCCGTTTCCTTTATTTTCACTTCAAGAATGTCAGTCATGGTTTGTGCAAACATGAATGTGCTTTAAAAGTAGAGTATATTTTTCCTTCTAAGGCTATCTTAAATAAATGGATTGCTACATTTGCATCTGTATGTACACGTACGTGGTCATTGACACCCCCTCTGACTGTCGAAAGGTGTCTTGGTGGTGCTGTACGCTATGCATTGGACTGCTCACAGCAAGGTTAGCAGTTCAAGCTCACTAGCTGCTCTGCAGGAGAAAGATGCCGCATTCTCCCCTTCAAATGTACAGGCTTGGAAACCTTGAAGGAATAGCTCTAAGATCGTACAGAATCTGCTTGATGACAGTAGCTTTAAAGGGTTTTTTTTTTGTGGGGGCTGGTGGTGGTAATAGTTTCTGGGAGATATAAGGAATCCTGCCTGGGAAGATTATTATTATTATTACTAAAAACCATTATGTTTTAGTGACTTTATGATTCTTTGAAAGGAGTGGTTACTCATTGGGCTGCGAAATGAAAAGTCGGTAGTTTGAAACCATCTCCCACTACACGGGAGAGAAATAGGGCTTTCTACTCCTGTAAAAAGTTGGTAGTCTTGGAAACCCACAGATGCCGTTCTGCTCTGTTCTGTAGGGTCACATGAGTCGGAATCCACTTGATGGCAGTGATTACATTTCTTTAGACACCATGGATGTGTGATGGCTTGTACGTTCAACTGTTAACCACAAGTTAGCAATTGAAACCCACCAGCCAGGCCTCCAGAGAAAGATGAGGCTGTCTGCTCCCTTAAAAAGTTACAGTTTTAGAAACTCAAAGGGACCATCCTACTCTGTTTTACAGGCCACTAGACATTGGAATTGACTAGGCGGCCGTGGTTCTCTGTTACAATGCCATCTTTCTTCACGTTATACTTTATGGCCTTGCCCACTGTGGGTGAATGCTCTGTGGAAGCTTGCGGTGAAGCAGAAAGAATTGATGGGTTGAAGAACAGAAACTTGATGGGAGAAGCGAGGTGCTATCACCAGCACCCTATCAAGCAGCCTAGGGCGAAAGGTTCCTCTCCTCACTCCCTCCTTTTTATTTAAAATCCATGGACTACACTTATCTACCATTTTTTAAAAAGCACTAATTTTCTTTGGTAATATTTAATCTGGAAGCTTCTTTTGACTTTTGTCCTTTAGAGGCCTCATAGGGGATTCAGATTTCATATCCACATTTTGATAAATCTCGGACAGGGTTCAGCAAACTTTGGCTCTCAAGCCATAGGCTTTTTGGGTACATACATGTGGCTCTGAAGTAACATTGAAACAGTTTAAAGCGTCTTACTCAGATGACAGTGATTTCATTTGCTTGCAAAAATCTATTTATGGCTCCCGAGTAATTTTTAAATTGTTGAGAGGGAGAGGATTGGCTCTTCCATTTCAAAAGGTTGACAATCCAAGGTCTGGGACTTTCTCTTAGTTATTGGAGGAAGGTGGCTGGGGTTCTAGCATAACATTGGCTTTAGGATTTGTTAGCCTCATGTGGTGGAACCCTATAAATCTATGTTGATTATTCTATATTGATTCAAAGTTAACTGTGACAAGGATACCACTTTTCAAGCAAATGATGCACTTGTTACTGAGATTTTTGCAAAGGGTGGTAAAATAAAGTACTAGCTGACCCTAAAGGAATCCTGGTGTTTATTGTGGGTTATGAGTTGGGCTGCTAAAATGCAAGGTTAGCAGTTTGAACCCGCCAGCTGCTCTGCAGGAGAAAAATGAGGCTGCCCGCTCCTGTAAAGAACAGCCTCAGAAACATAAAGGAAGGAGCAGCTCTATCCTAGAGGGTCACTGTGAGTTGGAGCAACTAGATGGCAGTGAACAGTAAACCCTGAATAAAATCTTAATTTTAACCTATACTACAGGGCAAACTTGTCTGATTGGTATTTTAAATAAACAGTACATCTTTCTTAAATATTTTCTGTTTGGACATAGAGCCATTGGTTAGTCTGTCCTGGACAGTCAATTGGCCCTTTGTTCTGCCAAGGTTTTCTGGACAATTGGAGTTACTGATGTCAGCTTTCCCGCCACCACCTTGCCTTCTCCTTGCATGTTCTTGCAGTAGAACTGAGGTTTCTTGCCCAGACCTTCGTGCATCTCCATTGGCGTTGCCTATGTGATAGCAGTTCTATGGGTCCATCAGTCATCCTCACTGGATGAACTCTTCTCTCCTGACTCTTCTTTCTAGGAAGGAGCCAGGCCAGGTGATACAGGTTGTGCTTGAGTTCCAGGTGTTGACTCCTCTGAGTGAGAAGCTTTCTTTTCTTACATGCCCTGCTCCTGCTGCTGTGTTTTCAATGAGCACTCCATGGCACCACTGGCTGCTCTGTGCTCCCGAGCTGATCAAGGGGAGCTCTCAACAGGGGCACCCAGGAGTAGTGCCCAGGCACTAGCCAGTGCATGCTGCACGTGCTCCTAGGCTGACCTCGTGTCAGAAGTCACTGCACAATTATTTTGCTCACTTCACAAAAATCTCCGTGTGTACCTTGTCTCTAATACTACTGGTCCATTTCCACTGCCACTACTTTAGTTCTAAGCAGAGCTGTTGAAATGAGAAGTTATCTGATATACTAGGGCACACGTTTTGTATGTAAGCACTTGCATTTAAGTTTTAAAATATGGTGCTTTCAGATAGCCACCTAGGTGTCTTGGAGCAAGCACTGGGCTGCTGCTAACCCAGCTCTCAGTAGCTTAAACCCACCACCTGCCCCCCCGCGCCCCCCCACCCCCCCACAAGTGGTTGAGACCCACAGGTTGAGAACCACTGCTTTAAGGGGTAGCTCCACAGTTTCATAGGGGCTCTGTGAGCCAGAATTGACTCTGGCAATGGGTTTGGCTTTACAGTTTAGGCTCTGTTGCCCTCACTGGTATGATGCAGTTGAGCTATGTGGTGTTGATAAGACCTGAAAGGAGGCACCCTTTTATTGGCGCCTCCTCTACTGGTAGTATTCATTCTGGGGGCTAAGTAATCCCTGCAGTCTGTGAAACATAAGGGCTGCTGTCTGTCGGAACCGACTCATCACACCAAAATTAACAAAATAGGTACCCTGAATCCAGGACCCAAAGCATACCACTTAGTAGGTTTTGTTTGATTTTTTGCTATCCCTCAAATGAGTGAATAGCATTTCAAAACAAAATAATGGGAGCAAATATTTAACATGCTTGCAATGTGCCGGCAACTGTTCTGAATGCATGAATCATCTTGTTCCTTCCCTGTCCCACTCAGGGAGGCCAGGTCAGTGGTCAGGTTACCTGTCCAAGGTCACAGGAGTCCAGCTCTGGGATCTGATTGCAGCGGTCATTCTGGAGACCAGGGCGCACTAGCGAGTAGATGGGGAAGTGCTTCATTTGCAAAGACCCCTTGAACTCAGCTGGGGCAGGGTCGGTTGTAGTGGTTGTATTTGAGATTAAATATGAGCCTTTAGGGGAGAGGTTAGTAAGAAGCAGTACTGCGATCAAGTTGCCAGTGCTGATAGTTTTACTTAAGGATGCAGAAGCTTACCTCTGGGTTTCAACTGATAGCATTTGAGGAGAACACCCCACCCCCACTCCACATTGAACTAAAAGTCCTGCATTAGGACCCTGGATCTGTTGGTGGCTGTGGGAAAGCTTGTTAAACTTTCTCTGCCAGTTGATCATAATCACCACTGGAGGGACACAGGATGTAAGAAGATGAGGATAGATGATGCTTAGAACACAGGAACTGCCACCAAAGTGAATGGAGCCTAGTGTGAGTGTGGCGCGTTTTAAGGTAGAAAAGAGTCTGGAGAACATTCCGACGAGGCGCTGACCAGTCCTTGGATACTAGCCCACTTAATTGGAACATGTATGTGAAAGTAACCTTGTGTGATTAGAATGCCTAACATAAATAATGATGTTGTGCGGATGGTAGCCTTCTGTTTAAATGGCTTGCCTATGCCTCAGGGATTCGATTGATCAGAGGCAGAATTGCTCAGTGAAAAGAAGTTGAGAGGTGGATTTCTGATTATTTCAGGGTGGGTAGTGGGTGTTTTATCCAAAAACTTTTATGGTGACTTGGGGAGCTTGCCAATAGAGTATATTGTGTCCCGTTCCCAACACACACACACACACACACACACACACACACACACACACACACACACAC